AGAAATATATATATATATATATATATTTTTTTTTTTTTGGTACCGGGGATTGAACTAGAAATATTTTCTTAAGTGGCATCATGGAACACACATCTCAATACAGTACTTGACTATATGCTTCCTCCTAGCTGTCCCTAAAATAATGCCACAAAAAGGTCTCTGGAAAGAATAACAGGCTAACAATTATTATCCTCTCTTTCCCAAGAGTTCACCTTCTGAGTCTTCTTCCCCACCCCTCATTTTCTCAGCATACCTTACAGAGGAGAAAAAAACTGAAGCTTTTTGTTTTCTCCCCCATTAAATCTACAAAACTACACCTGTCCTGTTTCTTAATATAATTGTGCCTCTTAGTATCAACGATCTAATCCCTCTCTACCTATGTTTTGAATCCTAACTCCTCTAATGTCATAGAAATCCTAATTGATTAGCCTTCTACACACCCTTATGTTTACTAACTCTTCTCAACTAGCTAGTTCCCTCTCATCTATACCTATATTTAAATAGGCTCAAATTGCTTCTTCCATCTTAGGGAGAAAAAAAATCCTGACTGGCCCCTATTAGCTATCCCCTCTCAACTTTAATAACCCAGCTAGCACCTTCCCTTAGTTTTCTTCTTCACAAACATCCTTTCATTTTACTTTTCATCAGCTCTCCTCAATCTACTCCAACATTTACCCTCTTGACACAAAAAAGCTCATATCAAAACTTCACCTTAATGGTTGATAAGAATCAGTAAGCATTTAAAAATCCAGACAGATTACTGTCTGAGTAATCTCTAACCCTGTCATACAACTTGCTCCTTTACAAATCCTGCCTCCTCTTCTGTCATATTCTTTGGGCTTTTCTTTCTTTTTTTAATAGGCTTATATTGTACCCTCCTGTTTGGTCTGGATGTTGAGGTTCCTTAAAATCCTGGGTCCCAGAGCCCCAAGTCCAGACCTTTTCCTCACACTATATATTCTCTCTATGGACAATTCTTAAGCCAATAATTCCCAAGTTTACATCTATTCTTAGATTTGCCAAACATACTTTCTTAAAACAGCTACAGTCCTAAAGCCTCCGAAAGGCTCAACATTTGCAATAGTGAACTAATGGATTTTCATATGAACACTACCTCCAAAATGTTTACTATCCTGGTGAACAGCAACATTACCTATCCAACCTGAGAAGACAAAAACCAGGGTCACATTTTTTACACTTTCCGCTCCCATCCCATCCCCCAATATCAGTCACCAACCTCAAATGATTTTTCCCTCTTATCCTTAAACTCCTTTACCTTTAACTCCACAACAATAGCAGTTCAAGTTCAAATAGCTTTCCAATGAACCCTGATCTTCCCCATACTTACTCTTGCCTTCTATCTCATCCAAATCGATTCTATTTTGCAATTAGCATGCTCATTCCAAAATACATATGTAATCAAGACACCCCTATTTAAGACACTTGAGAGGCTTTGCTTACTTTCTGGATAAAGATCCAATTCCTTAAAATGGTCTACAAGCCCACTTATTTTTCTAGCTTCATTTGGCACGTTCCCAGTCCCCATTCCCAGCTCTCACTTTCCACATTTTAGACATACTGGCCTTTTTTCAGGTTCTTTACCTACTCACACACACACACACACTCTCTCTCTCCTCTCATGCTTTTTCCATGTGCTGTGGTCTCTGCATTTCCCCACACTCCTCTTGACCAGACAACTCTTCCATGTGCTTCAGATCTCTACTCCAAAGAAAATTTGTCTGTTCTCATTTACTCTACTCAATCTTTTTTCTTGCTTGCACACATTCTGTAACATTTTCTTCTCATGTGTAAGTTTGTGATTACGTATCTAACAATATAATACTTAATGCTTTCTTTTCTATTTCAATATAAAGAACAGGGGCCATGAATCTTTCTGCTCTGTATCTCACACACAAAATAAGCATTTTTTGCCATTTTCTAAACATTCTTTATAAACATTAATCATATTTGTATTCCTCATAAGTATTACTCCATGTCACTACAGCCAACATTTAAAATGTGAACATTTTAAAAATTAAAAGTTGTTAATGCTGTACATATTTTTGTTTTCAAGTTAGTGATAATCTCATCTTTAATTTTAACTTAAGCTTTCTAACTTTATTTTACCAGTATGTATGCAAAAGAAAACTTTAAACGATATAATAAAATCTCTTATCCACAACTATATGTGAATTCTCAGTAAACTGTTGTACACTATTGTTAGAAAAACTCAACCTTTTCCATCCCTAATAGACTCATTATTTTGTGACCACAGGTGCTTTCAAACTCTCAAGATATTCAACACATAAATCGTATAACCAAATCACAAAACTAAATGTGATAAAGACTAATAACCCCAACACAGCTTTACACATATTGGTTGCAAACTAAATGCCAGGCCCTATGCCACATATAAATATATACAAAGTTGGTTTAATTATTT